GACACATGGATCTGCCTCTGCCCTCGGGACTCGGTCTCATCTCTGGCCACTGACACTCTGCCCCGATGGGCCTTTTGGGAGCTCCCACCCTCCATTTCCACTGGCCTGCCACCGAAACCATGGCCCCACATCTCCCTTTGACACTCTGAAGCGACTCCCCCAGGACTGTGGGCATCAATCATCCCTCCTGTGGTCACCCCCCACAGAGAGTTTGAGAAACTGACACCTCACTGAGGCGAGGCTTTGTGAGATCTTGTTGTCCTTTTGAGCATTCCTGTCATCTCCAGGACACTGGCCTCTCAAGGGCACTGGACAAGACCGTTGCAAGCCAATGTGGCAGCAGGAGCTAGGTGGCTGGCCAGGCCCTTGACTCTGCATCCCTATGGAGGGGGAGGTACGGAAGAAGGGAATGAAGATGGAGAGGGGAGAACGGGCGAGTCCTGCCGAGAAGGTGACCGAGACTGCGGCTTTGCAGAGAGGCTCTGAGGCCGGTGCCAGGCCCAGCTACTCAGTAGGCCCCGCCGGCCCGCAGCGGCAAGGCCCTTGGGTGCCGCACTTGATCTCGGCTGTGAGCTTAAATGCCCAGATCTTGTCTCAAGGGAAAAAAGGAGGATTCATCATCCAGAAGAGATGTCGGGCGAGGCAGCCACTGGAAGCCTGAGGAGAGTGCCCAGGCCCCGCCCCAGAGGATTCCCCCCTCCCCCCCAGAAATCCCGTCCATCGCTCATTCATTCACCCAGGGAGTTCTGAACACCAGTTGCTGAGGTTAGAGCAGTGAACTGGGTGACAAGGTCTCTGCCCTCAGGAAAGACACACAATTAAGACACTTATTACAACCTAGTGTGTTAAGTGCTGTGGGGGACGGGGAGAGGGGAGATAAGGTCTCCCATCTCAGCTTGGGAGAGTCAAGGAAGGTCTCCCCGCCACTTTTCACAGTAGCAGGAAAGAGGATCAGACCCAACAGTTCTTTTATTTTTGTTTTTGCTTTTTGGCTGCTGCTGGCCGATACAGGGATCAACTCTGGACCTTGGTATTATTAGCACTATGTTCTAACCAACTAAGCTAACCAGCCAGCCCCCTGCAAGTTTTCGGCGATGAAAAGTTCCCATCTTATGGCTTCTGATTCCTCTGAGAAGTGGTTGTCTTGCATATCCGCTAGGGGCCAGGGAAAAGATGTTGAGGAAAGTGAAGGTTTACATTTATTTTGAGTAGGATGGGTTTTACTAAATAGGATGAGTTATTTTATCCAACAGGGCTGAACCACTTCCTAGAGGGCATATCCGGCACAGGCAGAGAGCTGAGATTTTGCCAGGTAGAAATGATGAAAGGAGAATGGATTGGGAAGTGTATGAGATGTTGATTAAGTGATGGACCACGAAGTCTACCATGGAGAGGGAAGAACAAAAGCAAGTGCTTGCTCATGGACAGGGAAAAAGTGGAAGGACTGATGAAGTGGAGGACCTGACAAGGTTGAAGAATTGGCATCTTGGGGCAAACCTGGAGGTTGAAGTCACAGGGTAGGAAGCCAGACTGTATTATTTCAGAAGGCAGAGCAGTTCCTGATGCTGAGGCTTAGGATATGGCCATAGCTGGATCGGAACAGAAGTAAAGGACTGAGATGAAAAGGTCTAGGAATTCAGAGTCTAAGTCATCAAATGGTCTATCCACATGGATGTTTGGGTCTCCCGTAGATTTCCCCCTCTTCAAGATCACTGCACTGGGCCCCCTCCAGACCTTTCCCCAGCCTTCAAAGAATCTGCATTCATATTTTAACTTCAGATCCTAAAAGGGCAGTGACATGGCTCTGGGCCAGAAAACAGAATGGGGAAGTGAAAGAGAGATGTAGTGGACACCTGTTTTATTTTATTTTATTTTTTTCCTTTTTGTCTTTTTTCGTGACCGGTAATGGGATCGCAACCCTCAGTGTCGCGCCCGTACCGCGACCAGCAACAGGATCGCAACCCTCGGTGTCACGCCCGCACCGCACTCAACCAGTGAGCGGACCGGTCTCTATATGGGATCCGAACCCTCGGTGGGAGTGCTGCCGCGCTCCCAAGCGTCGCACTCTACCGAGTGCGCCGCCAGGCCGGCCCTTATTTTATTTTGATACCAGCATTCATACACCTTTCTGGAAATGGTATCTCTATGTTCTCTAGAGGAACTACCACTCCCACTTCTTCAATATCAGTCCATGCGCAGGTGAAGCAGTCTTTCTTCCACATCCTTACTCCAAGGGCGTGTATGTGGCTTGGGCCTGTCAGAAGGATTCCTGTGAATAGTTCAGTGAGTAATTCAGGAATGTGTATGTGGCCAACCAGAGCCTGTAAGGCATGAGACTTTTGCAGGGACTGTTGTCAGAGCAACCAATTTTCAGCTTCATTTAAACCTACCATGCAAAATCTGAGAATGAAGTCAGCATAGAAGACAGAGTGCTAAAAAAGGGAAACTGAATCCTGGTGACACTGAATTGAGACCCTGCGTCAACCCTACTACCTAAAGCCAGCTGTATCAGTCCGTTTCTGTTGCTTATGACAAAATACCTGGAACCAGGTAATTTGTAAGAAAATGAAATTTATTGCTTACAGTTACAGACGCTGGGAAGTCCAAAGTCCAGGGAACACATCTGGTGAGGTGACTACAGCAATGCAGGGTGTCACATGGTAAGACTGGCAGAGCAGAGAGAGAGCTAATTCCTCACTCCCTCAGAACCACACACATGATCATCATTAAACCATCAACTTATTAATTCACTTACTAGAGCACGGTCCTCACAATCTAATCACTTCTTCAAGGCCCCACCTTTCTATTACCATAATAGGATTTCCCACTCTTAACACTTTCATAGTGTAGGTTAAGTTTCTAGTATACGGACTTCGGGGGACACAATTCAATCCAAGGCACAGTCCTTCTAGACTGTGCAGTTATGAGTCAATACTTTCCCATTTTGTTTATGCCTGTTGAATTTTATTTTGTCACACCCAAATGAGTCCTTACGAGAGGAGATATACATACACATACCTCTATCACACACACACACGTCTATCGTGAGACCGGCTGCTTCAGAATAATGGGGAAGAGGGGAAGACCAATGAATTCCATGAGCATGAGCCCATTGCCACACTTCTTTAGCTGTGAAGTGAGTTCCTTGGTCAGAAGCAATGCTGTGTGGAATGCCATGACAGTGAATAAGGCATTCCATGAGTCCACAGATAGTAGTTCTGCAAGAAGTATTTTGTGCTGGTAAGGCAAATCCATATCCAGAGTAAGTATCTATTCCAGTAAGGACAAAACGCTGCCCCTTCCATGATGGAAGCTAAGCTGGCTGGCTGATCACCCCGAGGAATGGTGCCATATCGGGGGCTCAGTGTTGGTCTCTGATGCTGGCAGATTGGGCATTCAGCAGTCACTGTAGCCAGATCGGCCTTGGTGAGTGGAAGTCCATGTTGCTGAGCCCATGCATAACCTCCATCCCTGCCCACCATGGCCACTTTGCTCATGAGCCCACTGGGTGATGACAGGGGTGGCTGGAGAAAGAGGCTGACTAGTATCCACAGAATGGGTCATACTGTCCACCTGATTATTAAAGTCCTCCTCTGCTGAGGTCACCTTTTGATGGGCATTCACATGGGAAGTGAATATCTTCACACCCTTTGCCCAGTCTGAGAGGTCCATCCACATACCTCTTCCCCAAATTTCTTTTTCACCAATTTTCAATCATGTTCCTTCCATGTCCCTGACCATCCGGCCAAACCATTGGCTACGGCCCATGAATCAGTATATAATCGCACATCTGGCCATTTCTCCTTCCAAGCAAAGTGCACAACCAAGTGCACTGCCCAAAGTTCTGCCCATTGAGAAGATTTGCTGCCTCCTAGAGGACTTCTGTACAGATCCTGCCACTCATGGAACCCATTGCTGCATCTCTTTTCTGAAGTCCTTGGGTCCACTGCTATTCTTGGGCAACTCCTCTTCTTTCAACCCAGCACCTCCTCCATCTTCTCCTTCTCAAGAATACCCAGCTAAATGAAATTCCCCTCCCACACAAAAGCCTGGATAAAATTGTAGAAGAGATGTTTTGCAGCTTTAGTTTAGGAAGAGAAAATGCAAAATCCATTAACAACTCCATGGGACAAGAAACCCAGAATTATAGAAAGAAAGAAGAGTTAGTTACCTTTTTATCCTACTGTGCGTCTTCTCTGGCAAGGAGTAGGAGACAGAAATTAATAACCTGGTCAATTATCTTGCCATATATGAAAATTAACAAGCAAAGAATAAGTATTCAGTATTGCCTTCTCTGTTTCCCACCAAGTCTCAACTTACCTTCTTCATCCAGAGGTTGCAAACTCAAATACCAGGCAGGTAATACAAATGAGTACAAATGGACAAGTGCAATAAAACAAAATTACAGGGGCCGGCCCGGTGGCACACTGGATAGTGCGCCGCTTGGGAAGCGCGGCGGCGCTCCCGCCCGAGGGTTCGGATCCCACATACAGACCGGTTCCCGCTCACTGGCTGAGCGAGGCGCGGGAGCGACACCGAGGGTTGCGATCCCGTTGCCGGTCCCCGGTCCGGTACGGGGGCAACACTGAGGGTTGCAATCCGTTGCCAGACACGGAAAAAGACAAAGACAAAAAAAAAAAAAAAAATTACAGACATAATGATAAACAGCAACTAGCCTTTAGTCTTGGCATTAACTATAAGAACATGGTGAGAACTGCGGTGAACTGGAGAGCACATGGCACATGTCCATTCCAAAGGGAACAAATGCTACTTATCTCTGAATGGTCTTTCCTGCTCTGAATGGTCTTTCCTTTGTGGGAATGCAAGTCCAGTGTTGCCAGATTTTGTTTTGTTTTTTTTTTTTTAAGAAATCAGGCTATTTATTTATTTATTTATTTATTTATTTTTTGTGACCGGTAAGGGGATCACAACCCTTGGTGTGGTGTCACCCGCACCGCGCTCAGCCAGTGAGCGCACCGGCCATCCCTATATAGGATCCGAACCCGCGGCAGGAGCGTCGCTGTGCTCCCAGCGCCACACTCTCCCGAGTGAGCCACGGGGTCGGCCCAGATTTTAAGTTGGAAATATTGATTACTATGTACAATCTACTGATTTACAATATTGGCTACTCATTCAAGTTTTTAAAAAAACAGTGCTGGCCACAATGTCTGCTCAAATGTTACATATCAGTAGTTCACCTTTATTCTATGGTTTCAGCTGCTGCATATATGCTGCCAGATGTCTAATCTACATCTCACCCATAGACTGCTCTCCCAAGCTTCAGATCCATGTGTCAAAGAACCTCAAATTGAAACATCTAAAATCTAACATCTAAAAATTGAAGCCATCACACCCCACCACCACCTTAAATTGGTTCCCAGGTCTGTGTTCCTAATCTCAGTGAAATGGCACCAACATACATCCAGTTTTCCAAGTCAGAAACCCTGGAGTCATTGTCAACTTACTTTCTCCCCCACTGCATCCCATTGGTAACTTAGCCTAATCAATTACATCTTTGGAATTATACTCAAATCCATTTTTCTCAGTTCCCACCATCACTGCCGTGGTTCAGGCCTCATTTTTTGTTTTGCTCTATCTAAAGCAAGAGTCCCCTAACACTTGCAATTTAGTCTCTGTGTTCTGCAAGACACAAATTTGACCCTGTCATTTCCCTGTTTGAAACTTTTCAGGGTGCGATCCCTGCACCAGCCAGCCACCAAAAAAGCAAAACAAAACAGAACAGAAAAACACTTTTCAATGGTTTCCCACCACCTTCATGATAGATTTCCAACCTCTTAGCGTGGTATTCAGGGCCCTTTGTGATCTTGTCTTTCCAGATTCACTTTCTATGACTTCCCTAAGCCCTACCCTTTGCTACAACCACACTGAAATACCTTCAAATTTCTGTACTAGAACATGTTTTCTCTGCCCTAGCACCTTATCGAGGCTGTTCCTACTGCTTGGACTGTCCTCCTCTCACTCCTTACACTACACCCTCATTTTCTTGGTTCACCAAAGCAAGCATTAATCATCTCTTCTTGGAAGCACCTCGCAACAAGCAACTGAAAAAGTTGCTTAAAAAGATAGATATCTCTTCTCTGCCCCCATAATACCTTATGCATCTCTCTATTTTCATTGTCTGTTACTTGACCATTTCCCCCACTGAAATGGGACCTACTTTAGTGCAGAGATTCTGTCACTTCTATTGCCTCAAGGCTGAGTGATATGACTGATTCATAATAGGCATTCAATAAATGTATGTCAAGTGATGAATCTAGTCCAATTCATGGTACGAATGGAGAAACTTTTCTTGGTTTCTCAAGACCACATGACCGATCAGTAACAGAGCTAGAGAACCCATCTCCTCAATTTCAGCTCAGCACTCTTTCTACCAGAATAAGTTGGCCTTTGATGGGGGCATGGGCGGAGCTGTTAAATTGGAAAGGCAGAAATTGAAGTTTGGCCTGAAAGGAAGGGTTGACATGGAAGAGTGGTAGTTTCTGGAGAAAGAGGAGTAAATGAAGAGAAATAGTCAAGCATATTTGGGCTATTTGTCATCCTTAACATGTTCCTTCTCAAAAAGATCTCAGGCAACCTAAAGTTAAATAAGACAGTTCACAGCTGACATGGGCATAAAAAAGAGGATAGATCCCTATCTATTAAAGATGGAATGAGGCTTATAATCAGGAACATTAAATAAATTTTTACTATGGTATACACTATGTACCAGGTATTTATTATTCTAAGCATATACTTTATTCATTTAATATTCAGAACAACCCTAAGTGGTATTAACATTATCCCCCATTTTATAGATGATAAAACTGAGGCACTGAAACATTAAGTAGTTTGACTAAGGGTTCACAGATAGGAAATAGCAGAGCTAAGATTCGAATAAGGCGGTTTGGTGCTAGAAACATGTCCTTAATCATAATGCCTAAAGCGTAATTCTGACTTTGGCAATCAAGACAAAAGGGGATCATCCAGATTTCACTGTACAAAGTATGAGCTGTCTGATGGAAGCAATTTTTGGCTTTAAATTCAAGAAGGCTGTTAGGACTGAGCCCATGTGGGGGATGGGAGTTCTTTGTTCTGTGATGCAGTGATGACCTCAGGATAAACCGCCACTAGGCTGAGGAGAATGGAATGGCTACTGAAGGATCTACTCAGAGTTGAGGGGGAGATAGGGCTTCTTTGGGGCCAGCTGACCCATGTCTTGGCCTGCAGGCACTGTGGTAATAGCTGCCTCCAGAGTCCAGGGAATTTGGTGACACTATTCTTGTTCATTGTTTGGCAGATCCAGAGATGGTGGCAGTTTTGGAAGTGGCGACAGCTCCAGTCCTGGTGTTCTGGGGGCATGATACAAGGCAAGGTGGGTTACCTCTGACCATGGATGTACAGCTGGGTGAATGACTGTTGATACCACCTGTGAGGTCAGATGAGGGGTCACCAGTATGGATGTGGGCCCAGGTGAGTGACTGTAAGTCCCAGATGTGAGGCTGGGTTAGTCACCAGTGACACTGGATTTGAAGCCAGGTGAGTGAAGTAGAGTTACAGGAGGAAATGCTGATCTCTAAATGATGACTGGGTAATGACCATTAACACTGGATGAGGAGCCCACATGAGTGACTGTTCACTCTGGATGTGGAGCAGAGGCTGAGGGCTTCATGACAGACCTGTGTCTCTGAAAAGGCTTCAAACCCAATAGTATCATTCTCTATTCCCCAGGGCCTACCACTTCTGTACCATGTGGCCTTCCTTGGTCGCCTATTGAAGCAGAAATCAGAGGAGGAAGATGATGAAGAAGAGGGGGAAGAGGAGGAAGAAGAAGAGGTATCTCTGGATCCACTGAAGCCATGTTCTCCTTCCAAAGATACTCCCATTGGAGAGCAAGCCACTTCAGCCCCACCACAGCCATCCTGTGGGTCCAAGGCCACAGGAACATCACAGCAAATACTCACAGAGTCCTCAAGGCCTTCCAGACCCTTTCCCATCTTCCAGATCCTGACTAAACTACCTTTGAGGCATAAGATAGCATCAGGGAGCCACCTGCAGCAGAGAAAAAGCCAGCTCTTCTGGGGCCTCCCCTCTCTGCACAGCGAGTCCTTGGAAGCCATCTTCCTGAGCTCAGGTGGCCCCTCTCCCATGAAGTTAATTGTTTGTCCTTCTGTCTTCTTCAACAAGCTTGCCTTCCTGCCTAGATCCAATCTGCTGCTTTCCCAGTATTGCTCCCCAACCCAGTTTCCTACCAATAGAGCCCATACCATGGAAGACCTGGAACGGATGGCCCCCAATCCTCAGCTATTTCCACCTCCATCTTCCCCTCCTGTCCCATCACCACCCCTCCATCTGGACCACAAGGAAGTCCTATCTGGCACTGAGCCACACACACAGTGGCTTACGCAGCAGAAAGAGGTCCCTTGGGTCTCAGAGGATCAAGCCCTATACCCACAGCTGGAACTCCAAAGAACCAGGCCCTCCAAGCTCTTCTCATCTGAGTCCTGGTGGGGGATGCCATGGGACCCCAGCCTCCAACATGATCCAGATTTACCCTCTGCCTCTGCAGAGGGATCTCTGCTGTATCCCTCTAGTCCTCTGGGAGTCCTGACTAGGTCTGAGGCCCAATGGAGGACCTTGGAGCAAAACGAGAACCCCAAAGTTTCTGAGCCAGCAATGCCGTTTCCCAGCCGAACCCCAGCCTCCCTGCCAGAACTTCAGGGAGTCAGCCCTACAGGAGGCCTGTATGGATCTAAGACCCTCTGGGAAACCAATGGGCAGAAAGAGAACTCTCAGATCTCTGAGCCCCGAGTCTTGGTCCCTTGCCAATCCCTAGTCCCCATGACAGAGCCCCATGGAACTAGACCCCTGGCAGTTCCACCAGGATATGAGACTCAGTGGAGAACTACAAAACATAAAGAGAGCCCCCGACCATCTGAGCCCCCAATGCCAGCCCCCTGCCTACCCCCAGCTTCTCTGTTAGAACCCAAAAGAGTCAGACCCGAAGAACTTTCTGTACCTAAAGACTTTAGGGGAACCATGCGATACAGAGAGAACCCTCAGGCCTCTGAGTCTCCAATGCCAACCCCCTGTCCTCCCCTAGACTCCCTGCCAAAACTCCAGAGAGCGAGTCCCCTAGAAGATCCACCTGGATATGAACCCCAGTGGGGATGCAGGGAAAACTCAGCCTTGGATCTCAACCCAAGGCTCTACGGAACCAGCCCTGCGTGTGTCCCATCAGGATCTGAAACTCCACGAAATAGCATGCAAGGTAGAGAAAATCTTTGGGTGCCTGCAGACACAGTTTCACCTCCGAGCCTTCCCTCAGCCTGTCTACTGGAGTCTCTAGCAACGTGCCCCCAGAGAGTCCTGACTGAGTCCAAAGCTTTGTGGGAGACCATGAGGCAGAGAGAGGACCTCCAGGTGTCTGACTCCCCAGACCCTGCCCATAGAGCACCTCTAGCCCCCCTTATAGAGCCACACAGAATCAATCCTGTGGAAGGCCTCACTACATCAGAACCTACATGGAAGGACACTGAGCATTCCAGGAATTCCTGGGCTTCTGAGCCCCCATCTCTGGCCCTCAGCCCATCCCCAGCTCTTGTATTGGAGCCCCTCAGAATTAGTCCAATGGGGGTCCTCTTTGATTCTGAGGCTAAATGTGGGGGCATAAAAAGGAAAAAAAACTCCTCTGAGCTCTCAGCTTGCAGTGTACCCCAAGACCTGCATAGAGCCGGTCCCCTGGGAGTCCTGTCTGACCCTGAACCTGTTGGGGAGGATATGGAGCAGAAAGAGAACTGTTGTTTTCCTGTGTCCCTGGTTTGGGGCCCCAGCCCACCCCCAAACTCTGTTTCAAAGTCCCACATAACTGAGCATACCGGAGACCAATGCAACTGCAAACCTGAGGAAAAAGAAGCAGAGCAGAGAGAGAACTGCTGGGCCACTGAGCTCCCAGCCCCCAGCTCACTCCCTGCTCCTCTACCACAGCCACACATTGACCTTGAATTTGTGCAGAGAAAGGCACAAAGAGAGGTCCCCCAGGGCCCCAGCCCTTCAGCAGTGGATCGCCTAAAGCCAGTACCCTGGCCTCCCACCTTAGCTGAAGCTTTGAATATTGAGCCCACACAGCCTGGTCTACCCAAAGAAGAGATGTTCCCAGGGGCTGAGGCAGAGGTTCCACCTTCCCAGGGAAAGGGTGTCCCAGAGGTGCTCACCCACCCTGGGATCCACGCCTGGCACTGGAGTAGAGAGCTGGAACTCAAGCTGAAGAAACTGCAGCGGAGGCCTGCTTCTAGATCCCCTTGCCAAAGTCAACCATTTTGCAGCTCCTCTACCCTGAGCTCTACAACTCCAGACTCCTGGGGATTATCTTCCTGCCACCAAAAGCTGACAAATCCCCCTAACCTGTGCCCCCACTCTTCAAGTTGTCATCTGCAAAAACTTCCAAACACAGTAACTCAGCCTGTCCAGGCTCTCCACGGTTATCACTCCCACTCCTCTTCTCAGCCTCAGCCACAAGGGTCTCACAAGGCAGAACACGGGTCTCGGAAGGAGACAAGAAAGGGGAAGATGGTGGCCCAGGTCCCATCCCAGGGTCCATGTGTTCGCATGCAGGCTGGGAAGAACTGTCCAGACCTGGGAGAGCCTTCAAACCCTGAGGTTTTGGCCTCAGGCAAAAGACAGGACAAGGCTTCAGCCAAAAAGAAAAAGAGCCCCAGAAAACCCAAAGCAGGAGACCATGGAGGAGAAAATACAAAATCGAGGTCATCCACAGTCACAGTGAAGAGCCACCCTGCCCAGGCCCAAAAACTAGCAGAGGACCCTGTAAGCAGACTTTCCCAAAAGTCTCACCACAGGGGACAGAGTTCTCAACACACTATTCTTCCCCAGCAGCTTCTCCCCAAGGCTTCAAATCCAAAGGATCAGCAACAGGCAAAGCTGGGAGCTGGTGACATCCTGAACGCTCGCCACTGTACGCACTGTCCTCAGGCCCACATGAAGAAGCACCTTTCTTTTCTCACACCCCAGGCTCCACTTACCACAGGTCTCCAAAGGGTGTTAGCCAACTTTCTATGTACCCATGGACTCCTGCCCACTAAATTTATTCAGTAGAGGAAAGGCTGGTAGTACTAGCACCCAGTACCCCAAGACCTGAAGCCAAACCAGGTGAGGGTGGGGAGATGGAGAGACAAAAAAAGAAATCCTAATAAACAAGCTGAACTAGATAAATCCTACTCATGTGTTCTTTGTAGACTAGGGTACTGGGAATGTCAGTTCCCAATTAACTTCTGCTATAGCCATATCCCTTCAGGATCAGATCCCAGAAGTAGAGAGCTCAGGATTCTACAGACTTAACTTTCTTTTTTTTTTTTTCCTTTTTGTCTTTTTTACTGACTGGTAACGGGATCGCAACCCTCTCCAGTGCGCCACCGGGCCGGCCCAGACTTAACTTTCTTTTCTAGACTTTCACAGATTACATCTGGAGCCTACACAGCCCTGCTCTCCAGGGTAAGGCTGCAGGGCCAGGGAAGAACAGCCCAATACTGCCCTTGAGCGGGAAAGACTTCTTAGCAAATGAACAGAAAAATGCATCCATTCACATGAGCCCCAGTCTGGGTCTAGTGTTCTTGGTCCTGGGTATGGGCCCTTTCTTTACCCACATGACCCACAAGTTCTCCACGTATCTGATTTCTTCTCAGTCCTCTGCTTTCTTCTACTGATGCTATAACAAATTATCACAAAACACCACAAATTTATTTTGCAGTAAGTCTGACACATGTCTCATGGAGCTAAAATCAAGAGGTTGGCAGGGCCATGTTCCTTTCTATAGGGTCCGAATGGGATTCACTTCTTGCCTTTCCCAGCTTCTGGTGGCTGCCCGCATTCCTTGGCTATTGGCCTCCTTCCACCATCACCAAAGCTAGCAAAGTCAAGGAGACTTCTCACATAGCATCACTGACCTCTTTCACCTCCCTCTCCCATGTTTAAGGATTTCTGTGATTACACACTGGGCCCACCTGGACAATCCAGGACATTCTTCCTAGAGTCAGTTGATTAGCAACCTCAATTACATCTACAACCTTAAATCCCCTTTGCCAGGTAAAATAATATAGGCATAGGTTTCAGGAATTAAGACGTGGACATGATGGGAGCCATTATCCTGTCCATAAGAGATATTAACACAACCTGTCATGTATGTTGCGCATTATTTTCTCCCAAACTGTACCTTATTGTCTAATTTTATGATGACTTCTACTGTATAAAAACTAAATGAATTTTTATGCAGTTAAATCTACCAACATTTTACTTTGTTTTTTTTTTTTTTTTTTTACAAAAGATGACCGTAAGGAGATCTTAACCCTTGACTTGGGTTGTCAGCACCATGCTCACCCAGTGACCTAACCGCCCATCCCTGTATGGGATCCGAACCCGCGGCCTTGGTGTTGTCAGCACCACACTCTCCCGAGTGGGCATGGGCCGGCCCCTACTTTATGACTTCTAAAACACTTTCTTCTGGCACTTTTAAGTTTAGTATATTTATGCTTAGATTGTTAATCTAAGTTCTGAGTGTGGTATTAGGTGAAAATCTACCCCTGACCCCCCCATCAAAAATGATGTCCAATTTACCAATATCATATATAAAAAATAGAATGTCTTGAACCCATTCCATTAAATATGCCATACTGCAAAAAACATGTTCATTTTTAAGCATCTCTAGGTCTCAGATTCACATATCCAACAACCTACTAGAATATTCAAATTGTTCAAAAACTACTACTTTCCCTTTTATCTCTGACTTCTAATGTGCCCATTCCTATTGAAAGGTTATAACATCCACCTAAATACATAAACTAGAAGCCTGTCATCCTTGACTCCTCCCTCCTCCCTGATCTAATACATCAGTGAACCCTGTCAATTTTACCTATAAAATGTATTTCAAATCTATCTTCACCTCTCCATTTCCACTACCAATGTCTTAGGCCAGTCATCATTTCTTAATAAATTGGTTGCCATATTTCTTTCTAATCCATTCTCCACATGGCTATACCTCTCTAGAAGTCAACTGACACAATCTCTTTGGCAAGTAAGTGTCATAAAAGATCAAGTAAAAGAACATAACAAATGCAACTTATGGTCCCATATTAGATATTGGTTTGGTGAAAATAGCTGTGAATGACATTATTTGGGTCACTTGGGAAACCTCTGCAAAATTTGCTGAAAGGAAAAGTGGAGTTTATTGACTTAAAAAAAAAAGTTACACAGTAGTATGATTTCCATTTGGTTTTAAAAACACGACAGGTAAACACACATTTATACACAACATAGAAAAAGATCCAGAAACTGCCCTGGGGCCCCACTGGGGTCCTGAGGCATGGAACTGGGGGGAAGCTGAACCCAGCTGCAACTAAGCAAGCTGCTGCCACCGCTCCGGGGCCCCACCAGGGTCCTAAGGCATGGAGCTGGGTGAAGCTGAACCCAGCCACAACCAGGTAAAGAGCATACCAAAACCACTATTTCCACACAGGTAGCCCACTGTAGCCACCATAATTGCCACGGCTGCCACAAAAGCGGCTAGTCTCTATAGCAGCAGTCACAGCCACCATGCCAATGGCAAGCCGGACTCTCAACTCCAGAGTAATAGAAGCAGCACATGATTTACGATAATAGGGGAGGACTTGATCACACCTGTCTCAGTACTGGACAGATCTAGGCAACAAAACAACAGAGGAACAGCTGAACAAATCTATGGTTATTCAAGAGGGGAGGGAGGGAAGGAGGAATGGGGGAGGGGAGAGATTGGATAAGAGGCATAAAGAATAAGTATGATTCATAACAATGAACGTGGTTGTTTTTTGGGTTTTTTTTTGTTTTTAAAAGATGACTGGTAAGGGGATCTTAACCCTTGACTTGGTGTTGTCAGCACCATGCTCTCCCAAGTGAGCTAACCGGTCATCCCTACCATCCCTATATAGGGATCTGAACCCGTGGCCCTGGTGTTATCAGCACCACACTTTCCCAAGTGAGCCATGGGCCGGCCCCGTAACAATGAATATGCTAACAATAAATACATTTTTTAAAAAAAGATCCAGGACCGGCCCGGTGGCGCACTGGAGAGTGCGCTGCTTGGGAGGCTCCTGCTGAGGGTTCGGATCCCATGTGGAGACGGGTTCCCGCTCACTGGCTGAGCGCGGTGCGGGCGCAACACCGAGGGTTGCGATCCCTTTGCCGGTCAGTAAAAAAGACAAAAAGGAAAAAAAATAAAAAGATCCAGAAAGATACGCACCAAAGTGGTTAAAGATAATGATGCCTGGCTATTGGAAATATTAACTTTTAATATTTTGCTTATACTGTACTATACACTTGGAAAAAAGGGGGGAAAAGTGAATTAACACTGAAATCTAACTATGTTACTTCCCCGACTGAATCCTCCAGAGGACCCACACTTTAGGATAAAGTTCAGTCCTGGCGTTTGAGGTTCTCTACAACATGGTTCCTGACCTCTCCAAATTCACTCCAGTACTCCCTTGCTAGTCTAACCTTATGCTTCTTAAGCATGCCCCTGACCTATACTCAATCTGCTCCCCCCCAACTTCATGTCAATAGTCTCCCACATTCCTTTAAGGCCCAGCTCACACCACCTCTGGAGCCTTTTCAGATTCTCCTATCTTGGTAGAGTTTCCCCTTCCTGGCAGCCCCACTAATGATGTGTGCGCCCAATTCCTGACAGCATGGCTTTAAAGAAAGTGATGTTCTGTGAGGTCAAGCCCAAATTCCCAGTCCAGTACTCTTTCCACTTTACAATATTCCCTCTAGTCTATATATTTGGTTGAAAAGCCCAGCTAGTCAGAGGGACATGCTGATCCTTTGCCTCCTCTCACTAATGTCACAGCTGTTTCATAGTTTTATTTAGCCCAAACCTGTCTATAGGGTCTGAGTCCAAAACTCACCATCTGCTGGCCAAGGGTGGAACTGAAGGTACTTTCCCTCCCCCCTCCACTATGGTCTCAAAGACTGCAATTCTGAATTTCCACTTGACATGGGAACATTTAATGAGTCTATTCTTCTCTGGGTAGCTTTATGAGAAATCTATATCCTATGTTCTTAAGTCTTTTAAAGCTCTCAGTAGGTTGTAGGGCTTGGCAACGGTAACAAATCACTTAACATTTGCCACAGTTCAACTGAATTAATGACTGGCAGACCTGTGTTCTTCATGGGCATTGTGTGTCCAGTGGACTCACAGGGTAATTTGTAGGATCAATATCTTTAATCTAAATATATCCTAAGATGTTAGGTTTATAGTTCCTCCTTTGCTTTTGTCTCTATGGCATACTGTTGTTCCTTTATTTGATGCCATATTTTTGGGCGGAAACTCATCCTCTGATCATTGCAATTATCCTATGGAAAGAAGTGATAAGCTACAGTTAAGATCACATTCTAATTTCTTTCTGGGAACACTGTGGGGGGGCAATAGACTGCCTATATAATTTGCCTCTTGGTGTAAGTATGCAGACTTCTGCAGGTGTAAGTTGACAATAAAACAGTCCTTCACACTACTTTCTACAGTTTAAAAAGCACTTTCAATCATTTTATCAGATTGAGAAACTTGAAGGCCCAAAAGATTTAAGCACCTTGTTCACAGCTACACTGCTATAAGCACAAGTGCCAGAACTAGAACCAGGCTTCCTGACTAAGATTAGCCTCTGTCTACAAATCTTCTCTGGTGTTTTTCCTAAAGAATCTATAGAAGTCCAACTGTCTTCCCTACAGACAGACTTTGTATGACAAGTAAAAGCAAACCAATCATTCAAACACAAATTTCTAGCACCTATCAACCAGTATCTCTACATATCTTGGAAGGAAAATGACATTTGCCTTAAGTCATATTCCCATAGCTTAATGGAGAGGTACCAAAAGTCTTTCGCCAAATAACCTTGTCTTTGGCCGTCACTAAGGCGAGGCTGACAAAACTAAGAGTGGGAAGAAGACTGAAGGCTAAGCCATCAGGAACATCTAAATAGTGGGAAGACCAAAAGAGGACCAGACAGAATCTGATAGAAAAAACATCATGAAAAACCAGGGACTATCAATTCAAATCCCAAAAGTGCAAACATATCTATTTCACAGCACATGAGTTCCAGAGATGCTCCAGTTTAATCAACCGTTAGTATCTTGTATCCTTGTGAATTGTTTATGTAGACTAGAACAGAGCCTGGTCTTTCTCACCTAGGATAAGTCCCCGCATGACCAATACAAATTTGACTCAGTGGATTACTGTCTCTGTACCACGCTTTCTTTGGGTAAGGCATCATGGTACTAACCCCAGAAGCACTAAGTGATTACTCTGGTATCTGTTGAATGAAGAGGATACTCTGTACCTCTTCATACAAAACTATGCAAACAATCATATGAACAATCCGTGAGCAGGGGAAGAATGTTTACTTAAGAAAAAATAATCCAATACTAGAATTTTATATTAGCAAAAAGCTCTTTTTTTATAATACAAGTTACATAAAGTAAAGCTGGACATAATTGTGATCTTCAACCAGGGGGTGAATCTTTGGGATTTTTAGATACATAAAAGGGGGTATAGAGAATATTCACCTGCAGACAGAAATTATATGACTTTGCAATCCCAAGATTTTTAGAGGGCACCGCAATACAGTCCTTGGTCAGGATAAGGGAGCTCTGCAGACCTAGCCTTACCATCCACATCAAACATAGGTGGAGGGATGCCACATTCTCCACATCTGGAGCTCCATCAGCCTGTTTCCCCTTCACCATAGTCCTATCCAGTGATACTGCAGACACAGGACAAAGCAGTAGATATCATACCAGTCTTAATCAGGAGGTGAAGAGGGTGCAATCTTACCTCCAGGATTTCACATTTGGAAGAGTGCCTTGGCAGTAATGGGGTGATGGGTAGCCCAAGGCCCTTCCCAGGAAAAGAAGCAGGCACAGGGGCCAGGACTCAGGCTCCATTTTGACCCAACGTTTATTGTCCTTTTACAACATGTCATTTTTTTGGTTTAGAAACTGCTTGTGATTAGTTTTCCAACATTAACTCAAAAGCGTGTAAAATAAAATCAACCTACTCTCTATATAATAAACACCCAGCAACTGTGGCCCCTAACCCACCTACCCAGGTTGGATATGGGGAACGGAGGGCTCGGGCAACATTGAGTGAAGTGCAGATGCTTTACTGTGGGGGTGACAGTAGTGCCCTGGTTCACACCCCACACATGTCCCCTGCACTGCCCCAAACTATAACAGAAATGGCATAGGCCCAAGGCCCAATTCCCTGTTGGTAATTCACTCTCTGCCTCCCAAATGAAAATCACTTTTATTTTATCGCTTTTGTTTTGTATTTTTTGCAACAGAAACCCCCTGTCCAGAGTCTGACTGTAGCTGAACTGTTCAGACTGAGGAATGAAGCAGGCTGTGGGAGCATCCCTAGTCCCTCCTGGGCAAGCTCCCCCACCCCCAGGGAACAAGGTCCAGCCAGGCCAGCTCACTGCACTCAATGCCATCATCACTTAGCCATACAGGTCATCATCGTTGTCTTCCGTGTACACACTGCCACCTGTGCCACCTCCACTGCCCTGACTGGGGCCAGCTCCACCCTGGTTCCCTGAAGGGAATCTGTGCAAAAACAAGAGCAAAAAAGAGGGTTAGCACAAGTCCTATGAAGACTTTCACAACTACAGGGCTGGCTGGTTAGCTCACTTGGTTAGAGAGTAGCATTGATAACACCAAGGTCAAGGGCTCAGATCCCTGTACTGGACAGTCAAAAAAAAAAAATTTTTTTTCACAACTGCCCCTCTAGCCTCCTTAGGACTCCCCGACCACCTTGTTTGTATAGATCCCCCCCCTTAAGCAACTTAAGCACTGCCCACTACCATTAACCAAATTACCTGAAGCTGCCAAAGCCCCGACTCTGTTGAAGGGTCTGGGCAAACATCTCATACTTCCGAATGTCATTGTCACTAACAGAACGGCGGGCAAAGCGCATAGCTTCCTCAAAGTGATCTCGGCGGATCTCAGGCACTGGATCATCTTCTTCTACCTCCTATAAGGTTGGTAAATACACCAACAGGGATAGCTACAGACCAGCTTGGATTCCATCCCTGGCCTCCCCACTTCCCATTACTACAGTAGCTTACTGGTCTCCCTCCAATCCAACCTGAACTAAGTTACCAAGCCATATTCCCTAAAATTGAGTCAATGTTCTGCTTAAAAGCTTAATGCATTCTGGAAAAAGGAAAACTGTAGGGACAGAAATCACATCAGGGGGCTTAAGGAGAAGATGCCTGAAGTGGGAACTTTGAAGTAACAGGAATTTCTTTATCTCAATTGTGGTGATAGTTACAGAACTTATATACATTTGTAAAAAAGCATGGAAATGGCACCTAAAAAGGGTGAATTTTACTGTATGTATATTATACCTTGATAAACACAAAATTTAAAAAGAAAATATCAATGGCTAGTGGCCTCACTTCCAGTAACATATACACTCTTAAATCCACCGAGGTTTTCCCAATTCCTGCAGTCCTACTATTAGGGCTAGTTATTTGGGCTGCTTATTCCCTTTATCCAAACTCTACTCTTCTATTCACAGCCCAGCTCAAACCCTCTCTCTTCAATTGAGAGGCCACCCCAATTGCTGGGACTTACGAAACTGCTTCCTAGGATTAGTACCATCAGTAGTTTTTAAGTTTTTATGGGAGGGAGGAAGGATATCACAGACCCCTTCCAAAAAGTAAAGCCATTCATTAATCCATTCAGTCCCAAGCATGGTGCCAAGACACAGTGGGAAACAAGCAAGATGACAAAGTCCTTACCTTCGTGGAGCTTAGACACACACACAAACTTTGCATTTCATTTTGGGAGGTCTGTGGACTCCCTCTCCCGTGACCAGGGATAGGTCAATGGATCCTAGGTTCAAAGCCCTGCTCTATTTGTTTGCTGTACAATCATACTTTGATTTTCCTCATGATGACTGAGCATATAGCCTACCCATCTCTTCTAAGCCTTATTCCACACTGAATGGATTCACCTCAGTATTCTTTCTCTTTGATGCCTTGCTAAATATCTTCTCAGTCAGATGATCTTTCCAACATCTACTCTCAACTCTAGGGCATAGTGGAGACTGTTCTCTGACTCCCCATGCTTGGCACATCTGGGGAAAGGACACATACTCACCATGGCTGATGGGTTTGTCTGTCTCTCCCGTTCTCGCCTAATCTCACTCTCAATGGATTCACGGATGGCCAGCTTACAAGCACGTTGGCAAATCTCTGTCAGGTCAGCTCCAGAGAAACCATTAGTCATCTTAGCCAGGAATTCCAAATCCACATCCTAAAAGAAACAAGAGAGCTACCTTAGTATTCAGACTTTCCTCCCCTGGGATGCACTGACCTCACCCAAGCACTCCCAGCTCCAGTCTGCCTCATTTTATTATCAAGATACCCCCAAATCTTCCACCTTTCCTTTAGACCACCCCTAACTCCAGAAATCCCCAATGGAACCTTATCCAGGAACCAAAGAGCATTCTACACCAGCCTGAGGACCCATAAAAGTCCCCACGGCCTATGACCTTGCACCCACCTTGGCAACTGGGGACTTGCGTAGGTTGGCCTTAAGAATGGCAACACGGGACTTCTCATCAGGAAGTGGGATGTAAATGAGCTGATCAAGGCGACCAGGTCGTAGGATGGCAGGATCAATGATGTCAGGCCGGTTGGTAGCGCCAATGATGAACACATTCTTTTTTGTGGACATGCCATCCATTTCTGTAAGGATCTGGTTGATGACTCGGTCAGCAGCCCCACCACCATCTCCAATGTTACCACCACGAGCCTTGGCAATTGAATCCAGCTCATCAAAGAATAGCACACAGGGGGCAGCTTGGCGGGCCTGTGGAAGGGACAGATTAACTCAAGCACTAATGCTATTTGGTCTCTCAGACCTCAGCTGGAAAGGAAATTGAAGTGACCTTCACTGCCCCAGCTCAGCTGCAAGCAATAAGATGGTTTTGACTCTCCTAAAGAAACAGCCTCTATCCCAACCTTGCCCCCAAGCAAGTGAATTGATCGCCCAGCCTCTTGTAGCTCACCTTGTCAAAGATTTCCCTGACATTGGCCTCAGACTCCCCAAACCACATGGTAAGCAGCTCAGGACCCTTGATGGAGATGAAGTTGGCCTGGCATTCATTAGCAATGGCTTTGGCCAGCAAGGTTTTCCCACAGCCAGGAGGTCCATAGAACAGAACTCCCTTGGAAGGTGTCATGCCAAACTTGAGGAATTTGTCTGGGTGCTCCACAGGATACTAGGAGGAAAAGGAAAGAGGACTCAAGGCTAGATACATAACTGTGAAACAAACCTGACCAAAGAGAAGCATCTCCTCAACCACTTCATGGTATACCCCATAGTACAAGATCCAGGTTTTCCAGAAGCAGGCTCCTTAGTGCCTCAAACCTGAGAACAGCAGGTTCCTGAGTTGTGCTCTCACAACTCTTGCGATGAGTATGCTGACACCCTCAGAACACCCAAGTCAACTTCAATGTACTGAGGCAATGACTCACCCTGGACCAAGTTACCCTACCTGGACCAGCTCCTGAAGCTCACGTTTGACATCCTCCAGGCCGCCGATGTCTTCCCAGGTCACCTGTGGCACCTCCACCACAGTTTCCCGCAGTGCTGATGGGTTGCTCTGGCTCAAAGCCCACTAAATAAGAGAAGAAAAACAGGCATAAGACTTACCAAGAGAAGGGTCAAAGTATATGTTTGTACACCTGAGATGAGGGTATGGTCCTTACCCGGAAGTCATCCATAGTAACTGCCAGAGAGTTCATGACCTCAGCATCAATGGTCTCGTCCTCTAGGTCAATCAGATCCATCTTCTTGCGGATGGCCTGCAGAGCAGCCTCCGAGCATAGGGCTGCTAAGTCAGCACCTACATGCCCATGAGTCTCATTGGCTACCTGCAGAGAGAAGATCTATCCTGTCTCTAAGACCCAGCTGCCCTGGAAGGCTCGGAGACAACAGAATCCTGGCCCCTTCCCCTGACTTCTACCTCTGGGTCCTCCCATTTCCTTGAGCACATATTAGCAGTCCCTTTATTGGCTGGGCTTCAAGTACTCAAGCCTGGACTTGGAGCCTGGAAATAAAGCTGCCTCAACAATTCTGGTTTATTCTAATGCAGTGTCAACTGAGAAACATGCCAACTCCAGTTTCCTGAATTCAATCTCAGATTACTTTCTTTCCCCTGCCCAGGAATCAAAACCAATCTCCTCATATCATAAGCTTATGTCCCTTGCCAGTTCCCTGCAACTGCCTAGAAACAGAGATATCCTAACTCCTTTTCAGCCCTCATCACCACTCCACCTGTTCCAGGTCCACATCATCTGCCAGCTTCATGTTCTTGGTATGGATCTGAAGAATTTCCAAGCGTCCTGTAGCATCAGGGATTCCAATATCTACCTCCCTGTCAAAGCGACCTGTGGGACAGTGCGTGAACATAGACAGGGCTCATTTCTGGTCCAGAAGGAAGGGACAGACCTAAGGTAACCAACCATCTCAGTTAGCCCAGGACTGTACTGATGTTATGCTGAAAGTCCCATATCCTGGGAAATCTTTCAGTCTCAGGCAAACCAAGATGACTGGTCACTCTAGACAGGACTCAGAAGAAGGGAAAGGACCCCTGGGCCCTATCACTGCAAAGAGCTTCAAGAAATCCTCAGGATTAGGTGATGTTGATGAAAGACAGAGATAGGATCAAGGAGATTAAGCCCAGTAAAGCTATAGTCCCCCTACGAGCAAGAACAGGGTTGAAAGAAATATGGGGTCCTCACCAAATCGCCGCAGGGCTGGGTCAATGCTGTTGGGTCTGTTGGTTGCTGCCATGACAATCACATGTGCTCTCTGCTTTAGGCCATCCATGAGGGTCAACAACTGTGATACAATACGCCGCTCCACCTCCCCATGAGTCTGTCGGGACAGGATGTCTGGTCAGAAGTGAAGTCAGGACCTTTCAACCCCCCACCGTTCCCTCAGGTAAACTCCTACTTTCTCTCTTTTGGGAGCAATGGCATCCAGCTCATCAATGAAGATGATAGCAGGAGCATTCTTCTCAGCCTCCTCAAAGGCTTTACGAAGGTTGCTCTCAGACTCACCAGCCAACTTGCTCATGATCTCAGGGCCTGAAAGGATAAAAAATGGAGACAATGATAAAACTACATCCTTTCCCAAGCCTTCCCCACCCCCCTAAAAAAATCAGTTATCCTGTTTGCTCTGCCCAGAAACAGGTCCTGAGTGAGAAAGTGGTAACCTCTGCCTACCTTCTCACAGTCTCTACCAGCCATTATCCCAGGATAGCCACCAGGCCAGGCTGGAGAGTAGCCAAGAGACTCTACAGTTTTCTCACAGTAGAGCTGAAAGTGTGAAGATGATAGCAGATGCTCTGGGACCTCTGGCCACAGCAGGACAGGCAGCTCACCAGTTGGACCTCTACCAGCTAAATATCCCAGTGATCTCACACCAGCACACCAGTTGGATCTCTACCAGCTAAAAATCATTCTCAGAGAGCCAGTGATCCCAGCCCATCTTCCCAAACCCTCACAAATAAACAAACAGTTTGATTTGATTTCTCATTCTAGCTTTCTCATTCTAGCTTGCTCCCCCTAAGTGTCTTTAACCCTTCCACAATCTTTCTCAAGGGGGAACAGGGCAGGGAAATCCAGTGTAAAATATCTTCTCCTTGTTGCTCATCTGCCTGTAATGCACCCCAGTAGAAGAAAGACACTACTGTGTGCACAAGCATACAGAGGCAAATGGATGTGTCCACAAGCTCTCCCACTCTTGATAAACCCAGCTCAGGACTGGGTCTAGCCAGATGCAAGACGAACCAAGTCTCTTACCATTGATCAAGAAAAAGAAGGCTCCAGTCTCATTTGCCACAGCTCGAGCAATCAGGGTCTTCCCTGTCCCAGGAGGTCCATAAAGCAGGATTCCCCGAGGAGGCTAAGGACCAGTGCAGAGTGTCATTAGGTTCAGACTCCTGCTTTCTCCCAATCCCACCCATTCTTTTTTTTTTTTTTAAGGATGACCAGTAAGGGGATCTTAACACTTGACTTGGTGTTCTCAGCACCATGCTCACCCAGTGAGCTAACCGGCCATCCCTATATGGGATCCGAACCCATGGCCCTGGTGTTATCAGCACCGCACTCTCCCGAGTGAGCCACGGGCTGGCCCTGAATCCCACCCATTCTAAGATGGCTTGACTAGGGTTCTAGAGAGGATGAGAATCAGGGTTCAACCCTCACATCATTAAGAATGAGCCCTCAGGGCCGGCCCGTGGCTCACTCGGGAGAGTGCGGGGCTGATAACACCAGGGCCACGGGTTCGGATCCCATATAGGGATGGCCGGTTTGCTCACGCGTGGTGCTGACACCACCAAGCCAAGGGTTAAGATCCCCTTACCGGTCATCTTTGGAAAAAAAAAAAAAAAAAGAATGAGCCCTCAGCAGAAAATGCTAGGAAAACAGTTTAGTTCAGGCCATACTCACTCTTATTACCAGCAGGGAAATTAACGCTAGAAAGCTGGCAACATTTATGATGACAACTTGCTGAAATTAAGGGCAAAGAAACCACCCTAAGAAACTCATCTGAGTGAGTTTGAAGATCCTAGGACTAAGGAAATGAAAGAGGCCATTATACAAAGGACTCAATTTTATAAACGGCCAAGTTCTAGCTAAGCCATTTCAGAAAGCAGAGTCTATTCTCTTCATTGCCAGAGGCTCACTCACTCCCATAATCACAACTCTCCAGGATTTATCATGTTAGAATGCTTCTTCTTATAGTCAAACACAAGTTTTCTTCTTTGAAGTTGTCTTTTCTGTGGCCTCATACAGACAGAACATTAAAACTGCGCACACAGAAGATGGAATTATTGGGCTGGCCCATGGCTCACTTTTGGGAGAGTGCAGTGCTGATAACACCAAGGCCACAGGTTCGGATCCCTATATAGGGATGGCCGGTTAGCTCACTTGGGAGAGCGTGGTGCTGACAACACCAAGTCAAGGGTTAAGATCCCCTTACTAGGGCCGGCCCGGTGGCGCACTGGATAGTGCGCCGCTTGGGAAGCGCGGCGGCGCTCCCGCCTGAGGGTTCGGATCCCACATACAGACCGGTTCCCGCTCACTGGCTGAGCGAGGCGCGGGAGCAACACCGAG